TGGAGACAGCGAAGAAGATGAGATAGATTTCAGTGATGATGGACGAAATGAAGAGGAGGAAGAAGAAATGTTATATGACGATGCGGCCGATATGGACGATGAAAACATAAATGTGCCGGGTACACCCAATTCTGGGACAAAGAGAAAAATTTTAATAGATGCCCATGATATATCAGAAAGTTCGCCACAAAGTAAAAAAGGAAAAATTGGTAGTTTAAGTTAGTGATCTTGGCCAATAATGAGAAAAATCGGCTAAAGTTAATTTTCGACTTAGTCGATCGATTTTTTTCAAAATCGGCTGATCGAATTCTCATAATAATAATAATTCACGAATAAGCTTTTGATCATTACATGTATACTTTATATCGTTAGAGATATAGTGGTATTCAAATAATGGATTTAGATCAATGAAAAGTGATACAATATTTTAATAATTAAGATTTTTAATTAGCGCTATAAAACATAAACCGTAATACGGCTTTATTGACAGAATTCTGGAACTCCTCCACTGGACTTTTAGATTTTTCCCAATATCCCAATAAGAAGGAGTCTTTTTATTTGTAATGCTTTAGATCCATCTAAGATTCTAGTAGTTCGAGATCTCGCCGATATTGAATGTATTATTGTCTCGCGTCACTAGCATGAAATCTGTGCCAGTTTTTGTCGATGATCGACACAAAATTACTAAAAATTTTTAAATATAAAACATTTTTGTGCTTTAACGTTAATAAAAAGGTTCCTCACATAATTTTGGTATGTTTTTTAGTCTAAAACCTTACACTAACCATAATCTAATCCTAATATAACTAGAGTTGTTAGCAGTAAATTTTTAACTTACCGTGATAAGTTATAGAGTTCCTCAATTTCCAGGTCGGAATCGTGATCGGATAATATTTTATTTTTCTAAAAATTAGCATTAATAAAGACTATTTTGACCAAATTTAAATATTCTAATTTTATAAAAAAAAAATATCGCTGATATCATTGCTGAAATTAAATTTATTTTCAGACTATTTTCCGATAATATTTTTTTTTGATGAGATTAAATTTATTTTCTGATTCTTCCGATATAGAGATGGGCAAAATAATTTTGTACGTAATAATTACTTATGACTTACCGATTACTTAATATTAGTAATTATTA